GGTCTTTGTAATATAGATTTTCTTCTTGGCAAAGAAAAACAAAGTATCTGAACTGAAAAAGCAAAAATCAGTAAAATGATATTAAAAGCTGGTAAACCTGACAGTAAAGTAAAGGTGAGCTACTCTCCCATATTCATTATTACAGTAAAAAATGACAAATTCCTATATTTGGATGACACATCTGACGAATATAAATGTGTCTCTACATCCTTAAAAACGATGCTCCCTGTTTTGGTTTAAATCCACCGCCTTCACTCAAAGCGTAACAGCTCTCAGCGAGGTTTGGCTTACGAATACTCTCCAATCACAATCTGTCACGAGTTCATTAACATATGAAAAGTTCTAAAGGCACGAAGGAAGCAGGAGCTCGCACCGCCAGCTCCTCATCATCGGTGACCCGGGCGGACTGACAGCTCCGAGGAAGCGGCGCTGAACAAACAGACACGTTTCCTGGAAGGCTGGGAGCTCCGTGGAAGACTAGAAGCTGACCGTCAAGCCATTTTAAGGCAAACAGGGAAACCCCACGTCAGTCACAGAGAGGTTCGTCTGCAAGTGCAGCCGAACACATCCAAACGAGAGCGGCTGCGGCGTCCAGCAGCCCGATACGCTTTGACCCCAGAGCCATTCAAGCGACCACAAACCCCGCTGCACAATAACGTTTAAGACCCGTAAATTACGCAGTCCGGAACATGTAAAGTGACATCTGATGAGCTGACAACGTAAATAAAAGCTGTACGTACATGAAACATCCGGTGCTGGACGGAGAAGAAGCAACTCACTGCTGCTCGTACGCGTCGCTCATCTCTTGCTCCTGCGTCTTCTTCTTTTTGTGTAGTTGCGTTTTCGAAAAGACCTTTAGTTGCATTACCGCCACCCTCTGGATCAGAGAGTAGCTCAAACCAGCTAAACCACGGATTTCTCCTCATTCTCTAACAGTCTCATCGCCAAAAAACACAAACAGATTTAAAAAAAAACAAAAAAAAAACTGTGCGCATATTTGGTGTGGGGTATTTTTTTATCACCCCGTGATCGTCGGCCAAAAAATGATTGCCCGTATTTAAAGTGTTGTAAACGGCTTGTTGGCGTATTATTTGTCAGACAAATGTCAAACCTGCCTCTCATGAATGATGTAAAGTCATTTTGAGCCACAAACAACATACCTGATACAAAGAAGAAGCTGCATTCAGTTTTGGGCAGTTTTGCATATTCTTTATTTATTCAGCTAAAAAGTCTTAGCGACATCAAAATGTCTTTCCTGACAGAGATGTGGCCAACAAGGCAGCAGAATTAAGAAATAAGAAATATGACATCACTGCTTTGTGAAGGTATAATAAGTGTCCAGCAGAGACTGGATTGATTCTAATGGAGGTACAATAAAGAAGAATCATATACTTGCAAAACAAGTTCACGCTATCTCCACGGACGCAATGACCGTGCAGAAGAGCAGCGGTGTTTTAGTTGTAGGGGCGCAGTTTTCGTTTTGCTGTTAAAAGCCGCAAAAATGCGCGCACGGAAGTGTAAATGTCTGTAGGTGGGCTGCAAACAACCTGTTCATCTATTGTTTTGTTTATAAAAACACGCAGGCAGAACTGACTGGCAGCACAAACGAGTTTAAATTTGAGCAGCAGCAGTGAGGGAGTGTGGTCGTTTAAGAACACATTGTTCGTGCAGGTTTCCCGCGTGTTTGTTTCAGAGAACATGGAGTTAACTTAGATAAATGAAGGAGAAGCCAAGGTTTAAGATGAGGGCGGACTGTATGAGGTCCTTTCCATAAACGCGAAATCTTTGCGTATCATTTTTGGCGCGTGCCACAGACGAACACGTCGCATCAGATGTTAATGAATTTACTTTGCCATGTGCGTAATTACGCGCATCCTTCTTGTTTTTGGGTTGCAGACTCATGCTCCTTGAACAAAGACAGCTGTCTGTTTTTAACAACTTCAGATATCACAGAAGATAAAAAACAAACAGATTTTTTTTTGTTTCCATCTTCAGTCAGGAATCGTCTGCCAGTCTCACCCTCCACTCTGAGCTCACTTGTGAACAAGACCCTAAGATACTTCAAATCCACCTCCTGGGGTAATAACTTGTCGCTGTGCCAAAAAGTGATTTCTGATGTTTATATGTGTTTTCTTTTATGTGGAATTGGTAAATAGACTGTAGTCAACAGGATTTACAAAGGGGTTATATATAAAAAAATAAAGACATGTCTCTCTAATATTTTTAATATTTTACCTAAATTATAACCAATCCAAACCCTTTTGGTCACGTAAACATTTTATAGAACTGTTATGTTATTTTTGTTCCATTTCTCCTGCCCTCTTGGCTAAATCTCTCTTAAAAACAATTTTAATGCCAATAATCTTTTTAAGTGGATAAAAATGGGATATATGAAAGTCACTACCAAAAAACTGATTGCAGCTTCTACCTTGTGACAGGAATGTTGTTTGTGGCTGAAGATGACTTGATATCATTCATGAGAGACACGTTTGACAGATGTTTCACATTTTAAAGGCCAACTAGTCATTTATCTAATCTTAATCTTATTTCATCTTTAAAATTCAAATAAAATCTTTCACTTTTTGGCAAATACCCAAAACCACTTATCAGTTTCTGGCACAATACCGGCTTCCAAACCGGCAGAATATCTTTCAAAAAAGGCGAAAAATAACAAAAGCAAAATAAACAAAACAACCTGAAATGAATCATCTTGTAATGCTGTCGCGTTCAAATGATACAATGATGCCAGAATGTCCAACACGTCACTCAGCTGTCTTCTTCACCACCTGTGACCAGTCATTTGGAAATGAGCTCTCAGTGTAAGTACCTGGGTTTGGCCACTTGGGGGCAGCAGAACAAGACAAAAAACAACAGATATGAAGGTTGTAGGAGCTGCTGCGTGGACACACTTGAAAAGTGGGCACATGCCTCTGAGGCCAGAGGCGTTCTTGGGCTTAGGAGGGTTTAATATATACAGAACTATTATTTTTCAGTTACTTGAATTAAATTATTTTGGAAATGATTACAAAATTATTCCAATCTTTTGTTATTGCCTGAGTAAACCATATGCCATGTAGTGGCATAGCCTCTAAATCTAATGTGTATTTGGCAGCCATTAAGTAAAAAGCATTGACACACTGGGAGAAAGCTGCACTTTGAGTTCCTGGTTGTTAATGCTGACCCACATTTACAGCAGGTCTGCAGCTTCCAGACTAATGATAGTGGTGGATCCACAGTGTTAGCACTACTGGATCAGATGGACGCTGTCTGACATCTCTTGTTGAGGAAAAAGGTCCCTGCCTGTGGATTAGATTTAACATTTTCAAGTGTTCAGAATGTAACTGAGCAGCCCGTCTCCTTAGGGTCATTTTTGAATGCACTGCTTATGTGTGGATTTCCAGTGTGAGGAAGAACAAAACCCTACAAAAGTCTTGATGGGAAGCTTTATCAAAATGGAAAGTTAAGTTAAGTTAAGCCTAATCCTGAAAGTGGAGAGGGTCTCTGCCTCCTGAATGTAAACTGAAAGCTGAAGCTAAAGCAGTCAGCAAAGTGCTCTGAGGTGATACTGCACTGTGAGGTCTTTCAGATAAGATGGGGCCTGATTAATCAAAAGTTTGGATGTGAGCAGAAGGTTGTTTGAGTTTAATCATAGTTTATGTTAAAATACACATTTCATAATGTTAAATGCATTAAAATGCATTGACCTGTTAACATGTGGTAAATATGTAGCAAGCTTCACTGACATTACCTGGATTACCAGTGTTAGGAGACAGCATCACCACGTCCATCTCCGACACTGAGAAACTCTTAATGGGGAAACTGTTTACCCCCTAATGGATAAACAGCGGATTAAAGTATGAAGCTATCATTATAGGGTCTTTACCTTATAATGTAAAGCACCCTGAGACTGTTGCTGTGATTTGGTACAGTACCTGAAGTGAACTGAATTCAGTGGGTCCTGCTCAAGCATCAGCTGGAACCACCAACACAGCTGCTCTCTTTGGTAGTCATTTTTGATGTGTGTACAACCTTCGTTATCTGAGATTACAGACGTCTCTTTAAGATGAAGTGATGTGTTGATGGTAAAAATAAGAACATTACTGTTATTTCAAAGCTTTAATGAACTTTGAATTATTTCATAATTCCTTTATGTGTCACGCTACTGAGTCTGTGACTCAGTGTTTTGTGTTCATTGGTTAATTATTGTTATTTGGTTCTCTTTGTTTTCTGCTTGTGTTATATTCTTAGTTCCTAGGTTTCTGTCACTTTGCCTTCCCCGTGTTCCACGTCTAGTCACTCTTGTCTCCATGTTCCCTCTGTCTCCGCAGTCACTCTTGTCTCCATGTTCCCTCTGTCTCCCCAGTCAGTCATGTCTCCATGTCTAGGTGTAAAGTCTGTCTTTGTGAACGTCTCATGTCTCCTGTTTTATTTTGATAGTCCTTGTGCTGTGTTCCAGTGTATCTAATTTCGCTTCCCCTTGTCTCATTATGTCTGATTAGCGCCCAGCTGTGTTTCCCTCCTGTTTCCCTTTCCCTCGTTACTCCCTTGTGTATTTAAGCCCCGCGTTCTCCTTTGACCTTTGTTATGTTGTACCACTCCATGTGCTGTGTGCGATGTCCTGTAACCCACCGACCCCCAGCGCTGTGTTTACCAGTGTTCTAGTTTCCTATTTAGGTTTTGTTTGTCTCTTGTTTTTGCTACAGCACAATAAAAGCTGCGTCTTTGAGTTCATCCTTCTGTGTCCATGAGTTTGTGTCCTCACCCTGCCCACCACAGTGCCAAACCTTGACGTTATTAAGCTCTATCTTGGAGAAACACACATTTGATTAACCTTTCATATGTGTTGGTGGAGGAGATATTGTGTTATCCCAGAGTAGCTGACTTTTACAAGCAGAGGAAGGGCACGAGACTTTTCCCTAGCTGTGCGTTTCCATATGAAGGCCAACCAAAACCAGTTCACTCAGGATCTCACAGGAAAATCAAACTAGAAGTCAGAGAAACACAGTTTATTGAAAACTTTAAAAAACAAAACACACACATATCCAAACTTCTCCTGTTGGGTTTACACAAATCCCTGAGCCAGTCAAAAATGTGCTACTTCCAGTGTGGTATCCCAGCTTTTGCCAGAGACAGGATTTAAGAAGGACGCATAGAATTGAACCCTGATTAGAAATCTATAGAAAAGGGAAGAACAACAGAGCCCCAGTTAACAGCTAAAAGTGAAAACATATGAACTAATCAGCGTATTGCATAGATGCATGCCGAGTGGCAGCAACCTTTTCTCCCTTCTTATGGGTTATGGCATTAGTGAAACGGGGTCGCTACACAAATTTTCCAGTGTGCAGGTTTACTGTTGTGGAGTGGTGTATTTAAACCCTAACAAAATCCTTATCAGAGTCTAACAATAAGTGTAAGTGAAATAAAAAAAAACACAAGAAAGCACAGAAAATGAAGGTCTTGAAGGAACCGAACCATGATGTGCTTTTTAACAAACTGACTGATTGTGACAGCAACCCTCCAACTTCCTGCACATGTTTCATACTAATGCAAAATGACACCTGATGAGTAACTGTGAGAATCTGGTGGCATCTTACAAAACTGCATTAATTACACTCCAGGATGACGTTTACCTTCCAGAAAAACTCGACTTCCCTTTGCAGCTCCTGGCCCATGAACTCAAACTAAAGAGATAGATCTTTTAAACTAAACAAACATAAATATTAATATTTTATTTTATTTTTAACAGCTTTTAACTTTAGTTTATAGCCTGTCTAACATCACTCTAGCAAGAATCTCCTTGGAGTCTCTATAAGGATTCTGACCACTGAAAACTAAGTTCCAGGGTCCGCTCATCAAGGTGTCGTGGAGTTGAAGGTCGGTGCCCACTCAGGGTATGTATCCAGCGAAAACAGAGGAATTCCCCAAGTTGCCATGGCCAGCAAGAGGGAGAGGACTCCGATCGTGTTGACACCAAGCCCCGCCTTCACCTGCAGCAGACATGATCAGACACGAGGCTTGCAGTCAAGGATGAATGTTATACAGATGTTTCTTGTGAATTATGGCCAGCATACATTTAGTGAAAGAGTTATTTTTAATGTCTGCTTCTCTTTTCTTATCAAAGAACTCACCATATCCATGATAGTGATGTGTCCATAGGCATACACCACAGCATTGGGCGGGTTGGACACTGGCAGGAGGAAGGAGAAGGATGTGCACAGGGTGGCAGGGATCAGGATGTACAACGGGTTGACGTGTATGGCCTCGGCCTGAAGCGAGAACAATCTTCATAAAGCGCTTTGAGTGCTCAGAGTAGAAAAGCACTATATAAGAACCAGTCCATTTGATAATAATTTCACTAATTTCATAAATTAGTGAAATAACAGTCTCTAGTGTTCCATACACAGTAGTGTCACTGATGCTGACTAGCTGGAAATAAACCACTTGTTTTGTGGCAGGTCAGACAAAAAAGACTGTATGTTAAAGATGGAAATAGCCAACCTGACATCACCCTTTTATTTGGGAATTCAGTGTTGGCTACAGTGGCTTGCAAAAGTATTCGGCCCCTTGAACTTTCCCACATTTTGTCACATTACAGCCACAAACATGAATCAATTTTATTGGAATTCCACATGAAAGACCAACACAAAGTGGTGCACACGTGAGAAGTGGAACGAAAATCATACATGATTCCAAACATTTTTTACAAATAAATAACTGCAAAGTGGGGTGTGCGTAATTATTCAGCCCCCTGAGTCAATACTTTGTAGAACCACTTTTGCTGCAATTCCAGCTGCGGCACTCGAAAATCTGTCAAGTGTTTAGTACGACTTTGCTAAGCTACGAAGCCGCACCGCTTGATGGATTGTTGGAGCGTTACGGCTATCGTAGGCGGAGCCTCGCGGAGTGATACGTGCTGTGCTTCAACATAATATTACCGTATTGTGTGTGTATAACCTCTTTTTAAGTTTTGTGGATATTATACATGGTTATGCTGAGGATATGTCGGCCAATTTCCACTGGAAATGCCTTTTGGTTAAACTGTCAGCAAGGAATTTGCATTTGCATGTAAATAAAACAGCTGCTTGTTTAAGTGAAAATACATTGATGTTGGTTTGTTTTTTGCACTAATAAAGTTGTGGAGTTGTAAAGTATTTTTTTGTAGTTTAATTATATCGTTATCGCAAATTTTCAAATGTATATCATGATAAATATTTTTGGTCAAATCAACCTGCTCTAGTCCCGTTTGCAGTTTGCCACAAGCCATGTGGGGGACACAGCAAACATGTGGAAGAAGGTGCTCTGGTCAGATGAGACCAAAATGCAAAACGCTATGTGTGGAAAACTAACACTGCACATCACTCTGAACACACCATCCCCACTGTCAGATATGGTGGTGGCAGCATCATGCTCTGGGGGGGCTTCTCTTCAGCAGGGACAGGGAAGCTGGTCAGAGTTGATGGGAAGATGGATGGAGCCAAATACAGGGCAATCTTGGAAGAAAACCTCTTGGAGTCTGCAAAAGACTTGAGACTGGGGCGGAGGTTCACCTTCCAGCAGGACAACGACCCTAAACATAAAGCCAGGGCAACAATGGGATGGTTTAAAACAAAACATATCCATGTGTTAGAACGGCCCAGTCAAAGTCCAGATCTAAATCCAATCGAGAATCTGTGGCAAGATCTGAAAACTGCTGTTCACAAACGCTGTCCATCTAATCTGACTGAGCTGGAGCTGTTTTGCAAAGAAGAATGGGCAAAGATTTCAGTCTGTAGATGTGCAAAGCTGGTAGAGACAGACCCTAAAAGACTGGCAGCTGGAACTGCAGCAAAAGCTGGTTCTACAAAGTATTGACTCAGGGGGCTGAATAATTACTCACACCCCACTTTTCAGTTATTTATTTGTAAAAAATGTTTGGAATCATTTATGATTTTCGTTCCAGTTCTCTACGTGTGCACCACTTTGTGTTGGTCTTTCATGTGGAATTCCAATAAAATTGATTCATGTTTGTGGCTGTAATGTGACAAAATGTGGGAAAGTTCAAGGGGGCGAATACTTTAGCAAGCCACTGTATGTTGGCTTTTTGGAACCAGAGGCTGGCATTTACAGACGAGAGAGAGCGGGCAGCTCATTGTGTCAAACGTGGTTAGCAGAGTATGTCCACAGTCGCACATATCAGGTAATTAACACTTAGAAATTTGCAAGAAACTACGCAAAAAATTGTGTGAAAAGTTTGTCCTTGAAGAAATTGATTTAGAAAAAAATGAAGTTGGTGTCAAGCGATGAGCTGGTTTAGTGGACGCTCATATTCAAGACAAGCAAAGCTTCGGTCAACGGGTCTGTAGGATGGCAACTGCTTATCCCTTAGTGGTTTGTTGGTTAGCTACAGTCAAAGAAATTAGGGTTAAAGGGAGGGACCGTAAACTGAGGGACTCCTCAGTGTAAGATAAACGAAGATTATTTTCAACTGTGAATCATGCAAAGCTACTCTAGTAGACTGAGAGAATCAAATTTTCCGCAGATCTGTACAATATAAAACACTGAACTAACCAGAGGAGAGAGAATGGGGAGGAAGATGGTGATGGTGGCGGCGTTGCTGGTCACTTCTGTTAGCGTGGTGACAATGAGACAGGCAATTGTGACTGTTGCTAAGACCGGGAGGTCGCCCAGAGGTGTCATCAGCCTGGCCACCCACAAAGAGAGACCTGACTCCTGCACACACAAACAAACACACACGTTAAGCAGATTTTATACCAGCTTTAATGTATCTAACAGTTCTTTTTGTTAAACTAAGGGACAGGTCAGTTCTTTCAACTTCTGAAGAGACTAGTTTCTTTGGCTCACCTTTTCTATACATCATGTTGGTGTAGACACTATAAAAGATGGACATAGGTACCTGTGGTGTGATTGAGACACGGCGGGCCCAGAGGTTGCTCTTTAGAGTCATCTTTATTATAAACGGCTGCAGCTCTCGGCTGTCAGACGCTCATTCATCACACTACACTTACAACAACTTACACCTCTGCTTCCCCATGTTTTAACACTGGGGGTGCCCCGGTACCATTACATCAACCACTGGTTTCTGAAGGCCCATTTTGAAGATTTGACATGACGTTTGTGGACACTTGACCAGATGCGATGAGGACGTGCTGGTCTGACAGTGAAACCATTTGTTCATTAGTTAATGATTTCAATTTTAGACAAATCATAGCCAATAAATTTCAGAAGGTTGATTCTGTTCATCTGGACGTGGTGTTTTCAGTGGGAGAAACATTTCGTCACTCAGGGAGGAACGCTGGTTTAAGTGGGGAGTCAAGGAGACCATTTAGGTGAAAGGGAAAAGACCATCTCTGAATTGAGGAGGGGGCCTAAGGGCACATCTTTGTGATTGCAGCCGTTCCCTAACTCTCTGTGAATGGTACTCATGGACAACGATCAGTGATCTTTGATCAATGGTTGTTGATCGATGGTCATGACAATTTGCATATTAATGGTCAAGGAACTGACCTCACAGCTTATTGTTCATTCAGTGGTGCTAGTTTCAGTTATCGTACAAATGTACTGGTCATAAGGTTGGAAACCTGCAGTCAGCTGAGACTGAAGAAGTCATTTGGATGAGTAATGAATAGGGATGGGTACCGGTGTTCTGACATAAACGGTAGTAACCAGACCGAAGAGCAGCGCACATTTCTGTGCTTTTCTTTTTTTTACTGAGATGTCATACACTTTGGATTCTAGCCAATCATTTTACCTTTCCGAGGATAGTAGGCGGGCCCAGGTACGTACGTTCTTTTAGAGCAGAGCTACAGATTAAAAATGCCCAA